AAGAGGAAGGATACCTGAAGTGTTGCAGTGTGCCAGAAATGGGGAGGGGGGTGGGATGTCTTGCTCAAACAAGGCTTAACTGAAGCAAGTTATTTCTCCACAAGCGATTCCAATGGGTGGGCAGAAATGGGTACCTTTTGCAGGACTGGAGATCACAAACTTCTCCAAACCAGTTTGATTGTTGTAATGGTACTGCAGGGATGGGCGGGCCTGAATTTTTCAATCCATCCTTTCATCTTTTTTTCATACTTTTAAGGTTAGGAATACAAGCAGGGAATCTGGTAAAGTGCTCCAACTCACAAATTCCAAAACATCCTAAATCATCATCAGTCAAGATAACAATTCCAAACTGCTTACGCCAGCCTATGCCAATCAAGAATGTAAATTCATTTCACTTCCCTTAATCCTACAGTAGGTATGGTGACATAGAGATTATAACAAATGATCTCCTACACATCACATAGATACAAGACAGGGTGGCCGGGCCGGGGGGAGGAGGGGGGGCTCTAATCAAAACTTTTACATTCCCAAATGCAAAATAAAAGTTCAAAACAGACTAAAATCCAGCTGGTAAATTTATTATTTTAATCTAAAGAATCCCAAAGCCCGATCAAGAGAAGATTCTGCCAAAAACTCACAGTGCATGAAAGACCTGTTACGACTTGTTGCTTCCTCAAAGGCATATTTCATGAGGAATTTCAACTAGTCCTTAATTAATACAATACTAATTTTACATTTTAGCAGCTCTGCTAAAGTCTCTGCCTTGCAAGCAAGGGACATTTCTAATTAGCAGTTACAAAATGCCAGCAGAGGCTGGTTTAGCTGTTTCCAATCCTTTCTTTCAAAGAAAAAGAAAACATGATAGCTTCTTACACTAGTAAAGAAATGGGAAGACAGGGCAGTTTCTGTTAACACAGATAGGACAATTGCAATACTGGGAAATGAACATTGATTCATGATGTAACTTCTTTAGAAATGAGCCCCTCTCAATGCTGAGCAAGACTCATTCCCAATTAAACAGATTTAAGATTACAGCACAAAAATTAATCAGGGAATTCTCAGTTTATATTTCATTTTCAACGCATTAGATCGGCTGCAGTTAGCTATATCCTTCTGCGAGGTGGGGGAATAGCATTAGTTTATCTTCCTAGGTTCATTGATAATGCTTCCCTAATATTAATACACTTTTTTTTTCATTTTGCTGAGGCAGCATGTATAAAATACCCCAGCTGAAAAAAATAGAAACATTCTGATAGGTGGCATTATAACTACCCTGCCAAAATTCCACTATGCCACCAACATGGGATAGTACAATTTTCTGCTATTTTTTGGCAGAAATGAGCAATAGCACTTCGACTTCACAGTGCTTTCTAGCCCTCTCTAAGTGGTTTAGTGAGTCAGCATATTGCCCCCAACAATCTGGGTTCTCATTTTACCCACCTCGGAAGGATGGAAGGCGGAGTCAACCTTGAACCGGTGAGAATCGAACTGCGGACTGCTGGCAGCCGGTAGTCAGCAGAATTAGTCTGCCATACTGCATTCTAACCACTGCGCCACCATGGCTCAGTGACTACAACACTTGCTTAAATCTTGGTTTTGGTTTTGCATATTGTAAGCATTCTGACCACTCCAATGTAGAATCCCAGACCTACCCATTCACCTAACATTCCCTAGCCCACTTTGCTGGATTGTCTCATTCATTGTGGATGCTCCATTTGCAATGGCAATATGCTTCCCTCTCATCCTTGCAATGGAAGGAAAAAGCAAAAAATACACAAAGTGCTATCCTTACAACTTGCTTTTAGCATGCCTTGGTACTGAGGTCAGACAATGCTGCTGCTGCCCAGCAGACAAAGAGAAAATGATGAAGGAACATTATTTGAAGGGATTAAAGATCAAGCTTTTAAGAAAATTCTATTCAATTCTATTCTATGTGGTGGCTTCTGGTAGCAATTAATGGAATTTCTTTTTCATCAGGATTGAATGAGGAGGCTTTGAAGATCTGTTTATAAATGGGAAAGTTATTTTTTTTCCTTTTGTTTTATATCTTACAGAAAGTGATAATTTGGAATACAAAATGGACTTATCTGACTAAGGATAAAATAGATATGTTACTATTTCTGGTAGCTCTTAATAGACTTTTGTTGATTAGGACTGAATTATGAGCTTTATATAATTTGATTATTGATATGGGATGAGATGTGGTAGAAGAGATCTTTTTAAATTAAATATTAGAGAAGGTGTTAAGTTACTGAAATTGTTTATACCTGTCTAGAGGGAAGGAGAAGTCATCATTTACAGTATATCTTTTTTAAAAATTTCTTTGCACTTCTTTCTTTTTTATTTACTTTTTATATTTTTCTTGAAGTTTGCATTAGTTTTTAATCTTTGTATTTGTAAACTTATAACTAAATTCTAAAAATTTAGAAAGGCTAAAGTACTGGAATGATTGTTGGTAAACCAAATGAAGCAACAACATTGAAAAGATTGAAATAGCAAGCTAGACAGGGTAGGACAGGTATCAAAATACTTCACATATGAGCCCAGGGATATTTCCCTAGGAAAGGTGCTTTACAGGTGAGCCCTTGGCCTTCTCTTTATGTGCCCCCTTGTCCCATCATTGATGACAAAGATCAATTGGATAGGATTCAGTAGAGGGCCTTGTAGGACCAATGTCAGGGTTTAGGCTTTAACTAAAGTATATGTGAGACAAAGCAGTGAATAAGATGCTTTATTATTTGGAATGAGTTAAATATATATTTTTTTAACTTTACCAATTTTGCACCTGGAGTACAGACTAAACAATACACTAAACTAAATAAGCTACCTCTTTACAACTTGTTTCCCCACTGTGGGAGTCCGTTTAAAATAAATTACTGTAATTATTTCTAAAGGAACATCAATTTAGCATACATAAATTGTTGGCAATTTTGGGGTTAGACAAGAAGGAGATTCATTCAGGAAGGCACGGGGGATTACTTAAACCATGACTTTTAATACCAGCAAAAATAGAAATAAATGTTGCTCTGATAATAGTATGAATTGTAGTAACTCTATGAACCAAGGGTCTAGCAGATTATTTGACTTCAAAGTTTAACAACAATTCTAGACAATAGACCTAGAAGAAGTCCTATTAAACTGTAACTGTATCACATAATAATGGAAGCAATAACTCATTTAGGCAGAAAAGAGCAAAAACTGAAGAAATTCCAACACGTATCAGTTCATCCTTGAACAAAAGAAGAGAGAAACTGAGATTCATCTTTGACTTTCTAGCTCTCGGTATATAGTAGAAGGTAAAGCAAAAGAAAACTATGGTTGTTGAATTTTCCGTTCTTTGTCTTTGGAATCATGTAGTCAGGTCTCATGGTCCTTTGCTCAACTTGAATGGCATTTCTAACTCATTGGCCCACTCAGGTAAGTGGGCAGCCAGTGTGGTGTAGTCCTTAAACTGTTAATCCAGGATTGGATTAAGGGCATCATCAGTCTCAAAAGCTCTTTGGATGACTTTAGGATGGTCATTCTCTCTCAGCCCAACATTTCTCACAGGATTTATTTGGTGGGGGGAAATGGAGGAAGGAATGATCTCACCCTGAACCTCTGGAGGAAGTGTTCTGACCTAGGCTTCCTTAGAAAGCATGAAGCAAAGTCTTAATTCCAGTAAAATCTCTTATAACATGACTGTGAATTCCGTTCATTCACAGTCAACAAGGCATTGTCAAACAGTCTTTTAGAGGAATGTTTATCAACCTCCACCTTAACTCACTTGGAACGATGCCAAAGAACCAGTTTCCAAATGCAGAGAAAGGCCAAACTTGGCACCGAGTCTATTAGAGTCATGAACAGAATTTTCCAATCTTGAAACAAGATAAACTAATTACTTCCTGCAAAAGCCCACATCCCATTCACTCCTCTTCTATATCCAATGGAGGGGGTTATCATCTCCAAGGTGTGGCCTTACTCCTGAGTCTACCCTGCTTTCTTAATTGTTCTTGTCTTCTGGCAGCTCTGCACATGAGCATACTGGGAACAGGCTCCAGCTGTTCCTCTGCCTCACTGCTGTCTAACTCCCTCTCTGCCTCTGATGTAGAGCCCTTGTCCGAGCTTTCTCCAGCCCCTAGGACTGGCCCATGTTCCTCCCCAACCTCCTCACTGTGGCCGCCGGCGGGCCACAACAGGAAGGCAGTATACAAATCTAACTAAAGAAACAAAATTAAGATATATTTGTTATGGCACTCCTGGGAGCCAATTCCCAAAAAAGCTCCCAATTCCCTGCTGAAAGAAGGGAATGCAGTGGTATCCCCAAATAGCACCTTCTCCTTACTTCCATCACAACTAATGCTTGCTTGCAACTACTGAGAGACCAGATGCTCTGAGCACCATCACAGGTACTGACGACAAGGATGACAAAGGCTGATTTTAAAATAAACATTGCTATGTTAATCATGGCATCTCCATGGAATACATGGCATCAAAGGAAAAGGTTAGACAACTCTCACAATTTTTCTTTTTGGGGGAAGGAAACCTAGAGAGTTATATTTTGCTGGTCTTTTTTCCTTCTTTCTCTTTGGTCTGATATTTGGCAAATGCTGGACACCAGGTGCTTATTGAGAGTCAAGTCCAAATTAATAATTGTAGACTTGAGGTTTGGTCCAAGAGTTAAATTGCTACAACACTCTGGCTGTGAAGCAACATAATGCCTGATTTTAAAGAGCCAAGATAGAAATACAAAAATCAATGTCCACAATTAAAATGCTAAACAGCCAAGAGAAAACATTTTTAAACTTTAAAATAGTGCTATAGGATGTTATTTTGATTCATATTTAGGAGAAACAATTAAGAGATTTAGGATGTCTATTAATAATAATTAACCCTAACAGATAAGAGACAGTTCTCCACATTTCTAGACAAATCTGGGAAATATTGAAGGAGCTCATTTGGATCATCATGCTTGACTAGACTGGAGACTTATCAGAATGTTACATGGTAATTTTTCCCACCTGGAACAACACAGCACTTCATAGCCTTGTGAACTGATGATATCAAAGAAGTCTTGAGAATTTCCAGAAAGGACTAGTTTTTCTTTTGTTGTCACTTGATGTGAGAGAAAAAAATGGGAGGTTCAACTGACATTCACATTTTATAAACATCTAAATTGTGGTGGCCAATCATTTTAGTTCTAATATATATATGCAATTGCTCCTGGAAGCACGAAGCCGAGAACACCAGCCTGAAGATGACGAATGAGATTTCGTCGAAACGTCGCCAAGACACTTCCAATTTTACGTGGGAGAAGACCCGAATAACCAAAGACCTACATACAAACACCTGCGAAAACCTGAGAAAACATATATATCTATATATCTATATATCTATATATATCTATCTATATCTATATCTATATCTATATCTATATATCTATCTATATCTATCTATATCTATATCTCTATATCTATATCTATCTATCTATCTATCTATCTATCTATCTATCTATCTATCTATCTATCTATCTATATATCTGTGCACAGAGTTAATATATTTTGGGATGTATGTAAGTCTGTCTCTGTCTCTATCTCCATCTCTCATGTGTGTATGTTTCACTATAACATTCCACGAATGCCTCCCAGAGCAATGTTTTCATAGCTTTCATTACTCACATATCCAGATTTATGCAAGAGTTCTCTTAAACCCTACCCTTCTTTAATGCTATGATTTGAGGGAAGAAACAAAACATGCTCAAACTCCCAAAAGCGTGTATGAGACATGAATATGATTTTAATGGCTTGTTTGCACATATCATGCTAAACCAGAATGCGGTTCATTTTCTTTTGGTTTGGCACAATGTCCAAAATTGCCCACTGTGTAACAAAAAAAAAAACAAACCCCATAGTTTCTGGGTATGCTAAGCCAAACACAAACAAGTCTGATTGGGTTTTATTTGCTTGGCTTGTTTTATTTCCGCACTGATTTAAATTATTTGCTATTCACACCCCAGCCAAAGTTCTCTAAGGAGCTTATAGGGAAAACAAACACTTAGCACAGAACATCTAAAGCATAAAGCATAAAAATAATTAAAGTATAAAAACAGAATTTTTTTTTTTAAAGAGAAATGCAAAAGTAAATTAACCAGGCAGAGCAAATAACAAGCTTTTTACCAGGTAAAGAAAAACAAATCAAGACAGCATCGCTTAAAAACCTGGGTGAGAACATTCACCAAATGGAATGATCCAGAGTTCAGCCTCTGCCTAAGTTTCTTTCAGGTGGTGTGGCAATCCTGGAAACCACCTTTTAAGATGCTTTGATGGTTAGGTAGATTCACATACATGGAAAACTTCTGTAGGATGATAGGAACCTTCCACTGTTCAGATCATCTTGCACTTCTACAGAAGCATCAACCAGGAGGCATGCTCAGGAAAGTCAAGATGATCACCAAAATAACGTAATCCCAACCCCACTCCTTTTTTTACATGCAACATGCATAAAAAGGGACAGGTCTTAAATCACATAGTCATGGCTGCCATCCTGACATTTTTGAACCCCATGCAATTTTCTATTATTTTTTCTACTTCTTTTTTTAAAAAAATAAAGTGTTTAAGTTGCCTTTTCAACCAGGGGACTCACAATAACTTATTCAACACCAAAAGAGCAACCAAATATGAATAACACATCTATGTAATTTTTAGGAAGACCAGTATTTTTCAAAGTTGGCAACATTAAGTTGTGTGGACTTCAACTCCCAGAATTATTATGCCAGTTGGAAATTCTGAGAATTGAAATTCACATATCTTAAAGTTGCCAACTTTGAAAAACAGTGATGTTGCCTATAGTCCAGTGATAATTGGCTGTATAAGCCACTGGAAAAAGCAGCAGCTCCCATCGGCAAGGGTGTCTCCAGTATATGTTCAAAAAATCAAGATGGCATCCACACCAAAACTGTACCTGTTTGTTAAGTATGCTGAACATGGAGATTTCCTTAGTCTTAGCACTCACAGCCACTGCAGAAATTAGCCCTCTTTCCTTGATATCCTTACAGTATGGTGACCAGACGTCCCGCTTTTAGCGGGACAGTCCCGATTTTTAGCAATTTGTCCCGCGTCCCGCAGCGTTTTAAAAAAGTCCCGATTTTTGGAAAGAATGCAGGACAAGCTAGGGAACGGCGGGAGAACGAGAAGGGAATATACGGTTTTCACTCACCCTCATCCTCTGCCTCTGTTGGATTGCTGGGCCCGTTCGCTTACCCCGCCCACTCCCAATCTATTGCTGAGTCCTAGCTGATGGCTGGAGGGAAAAAAACTGTTTAAATTCTTGCCGCGGGGCTTCAAAGGGCTGCCCTACAGCTGATCAGTGTTAAAAGAAAATAAATGAGTAGACTGGTGCCTGCAAAAATAGAAAAAACAGCCCCTTTCAGCTTCAGCATAGGTTAATTACCATAAATTGATTTGATCAGCCTCCCGACTTTCAGCTGATTTGCTCTCAACTGTTTTGCGGAGGGCTCTGTTGCTAGCTAGCTGCAAAGAGGTAAATTGCTGGAGCAGATGTTTTTTCCCCCTAGCTATGCTGAAAAAGCGAAACTGAAAGTAAAGCAGGGTCTTTGCTGTAACGTGACAAAATGAGGCAGAGAGAGATTTCTTTTTCTTTTTCCTCACCAAAAAAGGTAGGTGCAAAACTGCAAACAATGGGAAATTTAGGGCAAATTTCCCATTGTTCAAGAGGAGGTTCAAGATTTTAAAACACAAAAGAAAAAAAGCTCTATTTAACTAGCGAATTGTAATAATTGAGATACTATTAATTGTATATTGTGTTGAAAGCAGAAATGGTTAAGTTGTGATTTGGAGGAATATATGGGGGAAATTATTTAGTTTATTATTATTGGTAAATATAATTAATTAATTTGTAAGAAATTGGATTGCATGGAAATAATTGGAATATTCATGTTCATATTGATTAATATACAAAAAAGATAATTATATAACTAATTGATTTATATTAAAATGTTGAATTTGTATTAAACAACTGTATTACATAATTACATAATTAACCAATGTGAGGATGGATATAAAAATAGATGATAATGGGAAGGGGTATAATATAGAATAGAAGGGGAAAATTGAATTTGATTAAGATTAGAGATGAGGATGAAGGGTAATACTGGTTTTTTAAAAAAATAGATGTGGAATAAATATGGCAAAAAGGAAATTTAGAAATTGTAAATTTAATTGAAATGACTAAACACTGTTTAAATTTGTGAACCGACCAAATACTCTGTTCAAAGAAAATACATTGTATGTTTGTATGTGTGTTTCTAATTATTGCTATTTATTCATATTTATTCTCTTTTATTCTTTAAAATTTAACAATTCATCCTTTATCTTAATATCTTTATATTTGTTTGGGGTTGGTTTTCTTCCCTTTCATCTTTTTTATTGTACAGCAATCTTTCTCCTCAAACCTACCACTTCTCTCTTTTCTTTCCTTCTTACTTTCTCTTCCCCCCCTTCTTCTCCTCCCTACTTCCTCTTCCTTTCTCCTTCTCCTCCTCTCTTCCTCCCTCTCTTACCCTCACTCCTACTCTAATTTCCCTTCCCTTCCTTCATCCCTCTCTATTGCTGTATCCTTTTGTGCACATGGACTACTCAGAGGGCTGAAAAAGTTATTTTTGACTGGTCCTCGCACTTTTGACCAGTCCTTGAATTTACGACTGTCCTCACATTTTATGTTTTTTGCCCTATCTTGTCACCATGGTGAAGAGAAGCAGTTGTGAAATGAGTGACATGGTTGTTAAGAATGCTGCACGAGCATAAATGTGAGGATGGTCATAAGTGTGAGGACCAGTCAAAAATGCGAGGACCTGTCAGAAATGCCTTTTTTCAGCCCTCTGAGTAGTCCCGATAGTATACACATAGCCATGGCCACCTGACCAGCTAGCCACGCCCACCCAGTCACATGACCTCCAAGCCATGCCCACAAAATAAGCCACGCCCACAGAACCGATAGTAAAAAAAATTTAGAACCCCCCCCCCCCGGTCAATGGTGTCCCTCTTTACCAATGTTAAAATCTGGTCACCTTACCTTACAGCCACCCTGTGAGGAAGGTTAAGGTGAAGGATAATAATGGCATTCTTCAAGATTATGGGGGAATTTGAACCTGGTTCTATCTGGTCATATTCTGACAACTATATGCTCCTCAATCTCCTCTTCTCTCCCAGTTTAACATTTGGTAAATTATACACCTTTTCTCATCTATATGGATTCTGAAGAAATTGGTTATTGTCTCATGAAATCTTTGGGCTTTCCTAAGGTGTAAAAGATCATAAAAATGCCAAGCTTTTGTTGATTGTTTCATCAAACCCCAGCAGGAGTCCCCTTCCTGCTAAACCTACAATCTCTCTGGGGATGTTTCATAAAGGACAGGCAGCAGAGTCATAAAAGTATGTTAATTGAATTATGTGGCAATAGTAAAGTGGCATCAAAGGCAAGGAAGAAAGCTGGAGCCTGAATAATTCTCCTTTCACACCTCCCATATGCTAATCGTTAAAAACAGCCGTCTTTGCCTTGTTCCAGTGTCCAAACAGGCCAAGCCAGCTTGCACTGAACACATGGAGCTTAGCGACTCCATGCCAAGAAATAAATGCGAGAGCTGTTTGATGAACAAGTCATGAATTGCCCCTATTTAGATGCACAGCTTCACCTCTAGAGGCTGTAGCCTATTCTCCAAAGTCTCAGAATCAGTCCTCTGTTTCTAAAAAATGTGATTAACAGCTTGTGTTAAGTACCCTACTTGACCATAATTCGGTAACTCCGGGAATCCTAATCACCAGAGTGAGGGAAAACACAGACCTGAATAGAGTCATTGGTTTCTTTCTTTTCAAATCACTTTATTATTAAATGAAAATATCCCCATTTTCATCAATTGCCCGAAACTGTTTCAATTCTGTTAAGGGAATAATAAGAAAGATTATTCTCTCTCTAGATTTCCAAAATGTTGAATAGACTATGTTAATAGCAAATTTTGTTCTGCAGAATATTAATATTGTCCATTGATGAAAGGCAAACTGACCTAATTTTCAAGGTAGAAAAAACAGCACTGCTATTAAAAAAATAAATATAGCCTTAGGGAAACAGGAATATTCACTTTATTGCTGAATCCATAAAAGGAAAAAAAAGTTAAAACAGTCCCTCCCGAGGAACAAATTAAGCATATGTCATGACCTACTTAAATGTGTCATGTTAAAGAAATAAAACTGCTCATTTAAAGGGCCCAGGCCATAGAAACTTAATAAATAACAAACTAAAGGCAAGTTAGTCCTTCTTAAAATCCCCCTGGGGACAAACATTTTGACAGATTCCTCCTTAAGCAGTGCTTAATATGGCTCAGAAGTCAAATTCGTATGGACATTTGGGTTTGCTTTTTCTATGTCGAATTGTGCTGTAGAGGAGAAGAAGTGACTGCGGGGCAGGTGTCCAAGGGAAAACACAAGCAGACAGCTGAAGCCCCCTTGTTTTTTACATGCATGTGATGTATACCACACAAGTGAAAAAGGGGCAGGGCTTGGTTGGCCTGCCATTTTGACCCTGTTGCCCCTGTTGTAGGTGCCCCTATGGCAGAAGAGGCGGAAACAAGAGAGAAAACCCTATTCAGATGTTCACCATAATTTGCAATGGCATTTGCTATGATGCTTAGTTCATTCCATGCTTCCTTGAGAATTGTTATCATTCTTAATCATTCACTTGCTTTCAATTTTTTGTGACCCGATAAACATCAGATAAACCATTTTTTCCTGTCTCTGCAGGAGTGCTTGCAAGGTATGATTTTAAAAAAGCCAAGATGGTGGCAACAACAACAGTATGATCAAAGCTCTGTCTTTTTATTTATATGCACCTAAGTCCCTGGTTTCTGCAATGTTTTCCATACTGCTTCAGAGGTGGGTTTCAGCAGGTTCTGATCAGTTCTGGAGAACCGGTAGTGGAAATTTTGAGTAGTTCGGAGAACCGGTAGCAAAAATTCTGACTGCCCCCCCCCATCTATTCTCTGCCTCCCGAGTTCCAGCTGATCAGGAGGAAATGGAAATTGTGCAGTAATCTTCCCCTGGATTGGGGAGGGAATGGAGATTTTACAGTATCCTTCCCCTGGAGTGGGGTGGGAATAGAGATTTTACAGTATCCTTCCCCTGCCACACCCACCAAGCCATGCCACACCCACCAAGCCACACCCATAGAACCGGTAATAAAAAAATTTGAAACCCACCACTGTACTGCTTATCAACTACATACAGGACTTTAACATCATCTTATAATATTTTAAGCTGTTCTGCTGGCATTTTAACAAGATTGAAAGGTGAGGTATAAATCTAACAAACCCTCCTAGAGTTAGCAATGTCTTCTAGGTCTCGTTTATCTTCACTTTCCAGAAAATGTCTGTTTCTAGTTGACTTATCACTAATCACTATACAATACTTTTGAGGCAGGTCTTCCTTATATTTTTGCAATTTTTAAAAAACTTCTTTGCTCAGTTGGTATTTTCCTTGTCTTTTATCATGCTCATCTTTGTGGAAACAACGTCCTTGATTTCTTTTATTTTCTTCAATAAACATCTTGCCTACCCAGTTGATTATTACCCTCAATGCCTTTGCATTACTTTTTGTTGTTGTTTAGTCACTTAGTTTGTCCAATTCTTCGCATTACTTATTTATATATAATTTTGTCTCTGGAACTTAGCATTTATTAATTTATTACCTTTTGCCTTCTGCCTTTCTTCAATTATTCCCAATGAATCTAGAGACAGATATTTTATCTTCTTTTACTTTTTGCACTTCAGCATATTTTCTTTGCTTCGGATTTATTATTAGTGTGAATTTCAGTGCTTTCCACAGCTCTGCCCCCCACTGCTAATGTCACCATATTCTCACAAGTCTTCCCCCTGGAGACTGACCCAAAATTTTCCCTCTCTCTACAATCACTTTGTAGCAAAAGAATATAATTGGGCTACAAAATTACAGTGTCAAGGGTATACTGACCTCCACAACATCAGCTTTCAAAAATATATGAATAGGAACTTAGTGCACAATAGGGCAATGTAGTATTTTTGATTCATTTCCAAATAGATGCTTTGGAATATGCATTGATATGAAAATAGCATCTGTCTGTGATTTTTTAAAAGTAACGGATTTTTTTCCAGAATCCCTTGGCAGCCATGCAAAACGATGCAGCTGCTTTGAAGAGTTGCAGACAGATAGTATATTCTCACCTCAAACCACTTCAAAACAACTTATGGCAACTGAGTCTGAAGAGCTGCACAATCCATTAAACCCTAAGAAATCAATCCTTTATATATCCACTCAGAAGTAAGCCATGTCATATTCAGTAGAGTTTATTCTCAGACAAATGGATATATCGCCATAGGGTGAATTTTTTTTTAACAGTCATCAGAAATTTTCAGAATTAGACATGCATGCTGACTATTCTTCTATTCCTCCCGAGAGGCGATGCAAGTTATAGTAAAACAAATGTTAGCATATGCAACACCACGTGATCAACAGCTTCACTTTCTGTGATCCATAACTCTGGAATATGAAATGACATTTCAACAGCCTCTGTTAACTGTGTGTGTTGAATAGTTCTGTTAAAATAGTGTGTACTGTTTTCTCCTTACTTTCCCTGAGGACAATTGCTTCACTAGCACATCATAATGAGAGATATTAATGAAAAGTAATTTTAAGGGGAAAAAATGCCAGATTGATTCTTGGAAATATGGAAAAGAGAAGTAACAATTGAAATTGATATTTGTTTTCCACATTTATAAAGCTGCCCAATTTCGTAATACTGTGTTTAGAGTTATAAAGTGAAACCCAAAGAAAGAGAACATCGGAGTAATTGAGTGAGGAGATATAAAAGTTTAATATGCTGTTGTTATGGTTGGCTACATATTTAACCAGATGTTTAGACTGGATTTGGCATTTTAATCCATCTATCGAGTTCTTCCCAAGGACTTGGGGTAGGCAGATGTAGTTTGATGGTGTGAAAGGTACTGTTGCAGGATGTAAGCTATTCCAAGTTGCCTATTGCAACTGACTAATAGTGATTTTATCAATGTTAATGGTGTTCAAGTAATGCTCCAGAGGTTTTGGGATTGCGCCCAACGTACCATTTTTGCTTTCTTTTGCCACAGTTATTTTGCTTCTATTCGCAATTTTTTTTTATTCTGTGATTTTCTTTAGTTCTTTCTCTTCTAAACTGTCTCCAGTGACTGTCACATGCATTATCCAGATATTTTGCCTTTTTTTAAAAAAAATTAAAAAATCAACGATTGTTAAAAGTCTGGGGTTCTTGTGTGTTTGAATTCTAAAGTCCCAGAGTGGTTTAGATGTTTCCATTTTTTAATTGTCTATTTTGGAGTCGGACAAAACTATTTTGCGATCTATTTTGGGGTCTCAGTTTTTGCTTTCAGGCAAATGATATTTCTTGTAGATATTCCAATATATCATGTTGCCATTTTGTCATGCCTTTGTTATGTAGTCAGTCTTTGCAATTTTCTTGCAACAGCTAGCTAAGTGGTGCACTGTTTCTTCAGCTTCTTTGCAGAGACAACATTTGTGGTCTGTTGCTGTCTTCCCAGTTCTGGTTTTGCATGCATTTGTTCTTTAGGTTTGGTCTTGTGAAGCCAGAATTAGCTCTGTCTCTTTCTTCCTTTTCTGCTCTTAGCCATTGCTATGCCTTGTTATCTCCTATGCCTATTTTTTTAATTCACTGGCCATGTAATACTTTGCCTGGTCATGTCTCTTGTCTATTCTTCATTTGGTCTTTCTTGTAGGCCAGTTTGGTCTCTCAATGCAGAAGAAAGTGGCTTGGAGTTGCAAGAGAGAAGACTCTTTTATAAAGGGCAAAGAGACAGCAGAACTTAGAATGTTGGATGGACAGGAAGAGAGCAAGGTTGGACCTCTCTAGCAATTTACAAAATACTGTATATCTATTGTTATTGCAGATAACTGCTTCTGGCAAGATTCTGTTTGAAGGTGAACAACAATAAGGGAACTACTCAGAAGTAGCTACACATATTATTCTTGGTTCTTTGGGCCTGACACTGTCAGTACTCAGTTACCCTTCATTGTATTCTGACTTCAGAACATCTTTTTACTGTCCTTCAGATATTCTCCCAGTGCCCTTTTTTCTTCTTCAATTGCCTGGTGTGCTTGCAACATTCCATGTCCAC